GAGCCCAGCCGGCCACAAGCGCCGGGAAGACGTCGGTGAGCCCAGCCGGCCACAGACGCTGGGGAACCCAGCCGGCCACGGGCGCCGGGAAGACGTCGGTGAGCCCAGCCGGCCACAGACGCTGGGGAGCCCAGCCGGCCACAGGCGCCGGGAAGACGCCGGGGAGCTCAGTCGGCTGCAGACGTCGAGAAGGCGCCGGGGAGCCCAGCCCGCCACAGACGTCGAGAGAGCGTCGGGGAGCCCAGCCGGCCACAAGCGCCGGGAAGACGTCGGTGAGCCCAGCCGGTCACAGGCGCCGGGAAGACGTCGGTGAGCCCAGCCGGCCACAGGCGCCGGCCACTCGCGTTCAGATATCTCGGACGGTGGGACGGAAACATAAAGGCTGTATCAGACGTGTTATTGATAGCGGAGTTTACTTAGGGCATTATTTTCTAAGCCGCCAGGTGACAGTTTCTCCATGGCGGGTCTGATAGTGCCCAGTGACAGATAGCGCGCTGAGGACTGCGCTGGTGGCCAGTGTCAGCAGCCAGCGCTGCGGCCAGCGAAGGCCGCGACCGCTGCCGCGCAGCACCTGAAGCCAGCAACCAGCAGTGACGGCGGGCGACAAAGACCGACACGCCTCGTGGACACCGGGGGTGCGGCCAGCGGCGGGTGGCTCGGGACCTCAGCCTCATACCAGCGCGCAGACGGGACGGTTCAGCGTATGCTGTGGTTACGGCGCCGGCCTAGTCGTGGCACGCATTTACAATGCACGCCACAATCTGAGGACATCACTGGCGGTACCAATTTGGAAGTGCTTTGAAACAGAGACACCAAGTGCACAATTACTGCGAGGTATGACACAGTAAGTCAGCATGCTGTTCTGCACGTGCACACTGCACACCCATATCATCCAATACCTCCGATTTCAACAAAATCTTAGATATTCTATTTTTTTCCTTCCTTTTTTATTTCAGGATAGGCAGGCACATAGGGCCGACCACAGCAGCAAGCAGCTATTCTTAAGTCATCTCATAGAGTAATATTGAGCAGGCGAAAGACGCTGGGAACGTATTCCGTCCACTTCCATCAGTTTTGGTCAACTGGTGCGTCATGGCCCGATGCGGGCTGCAGTAAGGAGGGATTCGCGGAGTCTGGCATCTTCAGGTACCATTCCGCAGGCGTACAAACCGGCAAGCTCACATGCAGCGCACCTGGTGGTCAGTTAAAGAACGGGTGTCCTCCGTGTCCTCACGTAACGGACCAAGGTACGAATCGATACAGATATAGGCATGGCATAGATTATGACATGTTAAACCAGGTAGAGTCAAAGTTTCGTGCGGCTGCAGTTAAATCTATGCATTCATTTCACTACGTAACTTACCCCACAGGTTGTAGGCGACGAAAACTGAGGTTTGTACCACTACCCAAGCATGGCGGTCGCTGTAGTTACGACACCGAACGCATTCTTCCGGCCTACGGCTGGTCTGTCGTGTCGTAACTATATCGCCGAGCGGTAACGTGACACAGATGGGGTGGTATTCATGTCGCGAAATACAGAGCACTAAGTTAGTCGCGTGATCGGTGGAAAATTCGTTTCCATTCTCACGCTTTTCATTCTACTGTTCGAATGTTTACCTAGCTGTCTCATATTCGTGATATATTTTGTTTGTGGGCACGGAGTTTGCCATGAACAGAGCGCGAGTCCTTTGTGCCGCTAATGTATACGGTAAAGACAGCACACCTTGCCATTATCTTGCCATTCCATATCGTTCCTGGTTACAAAGCAATAGTTCATAAATTTGTCCTGCAAACAATGCAGCAGCTGTGCAGCTAGTAGATGAAAGACATTGACTTTTACTTACATATCAGCGTATGGCAGGGCTACAGTTGTCAGGCCCTAACAGCTGGCTACGCAATTGAAGGAAACCTTACCTGCAGTCAGTATGTACTGAAAAACGTTTTTAAATGAATTTAATGGGCGACACAAAAACAACAATCCTGCTGCAAACTATAATATTCAGTTGAAAGGAACATTTTGGTTGTAATGGAAAGCTATGGAAACATATCTACTTTACCAGCAACCTATGGCACGCTGTTTTCCGAGTCACCCGTGCCCGGGTGGCCGGTCGAATGTGGCACGCTCAGGTGGGGAAAGGCCAATTTGACCCTCTTACATATCACAAGCAAGACAGCTATGCATGCTGCATTGACAGGGAAGTCAGGGGTTTATGTGAACTCGTTTGTGCATTTTCTAAGACCCTTTGGGCTTAACATATGGGCCAAATAAGTGAAACAAGGCCAAACTTGAATCACTAGCGAGTGCCCCCAGACCTCAACATCCAGCCAACTTTAACACCGGTAGTTTTCAGGAGAAAGATTTCGCTAATTCACGACAGGTCAGCAACCTTAAATCACCATTAAGAGGTCACAGTGACCAAAGTCGTTCGACATCATTTCCATCTTTGAATTCAACATCCGTGCCAAGAATTACACGAGCCAGAAAATTATTCCCATCAAAAGGTGGACTAAAGCCATCTTCAGTCAGTGACCTCCACTGACCTCGAAAAAGTCAACGCACAATATTTGTTGGCGTCTTTGTGATCAACTAATTCCAAATTAGTTTCAAAAAACGAGCCCACTTAACAAGTTTCTCAGAAAAAAAGGTTGATTTTAAAATTTTGAAGTAAATTTAGTCCCAAAACTTTGAATGCGTGGTATTCTAGAATCGAAGCTCACACTAAGCCGGACTCATTGCATGAGCCCTAAGCTCACAATCCGGTCGTGAAATCCCAGTTCAACAGCACAATTCCTTAGCTGGTCTGAATTGACCACAAGGTCGATCATTTTGTTGAATACTGCGATCTGAACTTTTTGGCTGGACGAAGTTTTGAGCTCGTCCGCTGCAAGCAGTGCTTGTTTTGTGAGTCCCCGCTTCACATTCGATCTTGATACTCCATGTCAGCGGCAGAATTTGTCGGCGAAAGCTCAACATGCAGCAGTGCACGGACGGCTCGTCTTTCCCTTTGACGTCACCCTACCAATGACGCGGGGCTCCCGCTGGCCGCAGGCCATTCCGGCCAAGGGTAAATAGCGGGCACCTAAACCGACTCGAACAAATCGCGGCACGCGTGGGCGAATCGAACGGCAGACACTCTATTCAGCCGGGCTACCGGGACGGAAGGAATAAGTCGCAATTATTTGAATTTTATGAGGTGAGTGAAACCTGCATCAAAATCAAATTCCTCCGTAAAAAACTCGCTGCCGAATTGACTTAAAATGTGCCATAAGAACTACCTTTGCTTTTAGCAATGATCTGGCTTTGAACCGCTACAGGTCAGTGGCTACGATATTTTTTGCACGACAAGATCGGCTATTCAATTGCCGACAACTACAGAAAGGCTGCGTCACTGCGCCGCCGGTTAAATTAACCCCCTCGGCCGGGCCGATGTTAACCTACACATAACTTACATATAACAATTTGGTGGACCATGGCCACAATATTCAATCGTTTGAGGCCATCCGAAATTGCAGCAGATAAAGATAATGGGCAAAAACCTTTTATAGACCGATAGAATATTGGAAATTAGGCCACGGTTGACTGTTCTTAAACCCGCTCCATTATTGGACTCAGCCAAATCGGTCAGTTTTCAGCCACAGCGCATACGTACAAGCCGACATCGGTAAAGACAGCATTTTGTTTTTTTTCAAATCACTGATGATCACTGGTAACTGGATCGAGCGGTCCTTTATATATTCATGCCAGAGTGTACATTAACTGTCCCGTATGCCAGCATGGTGCGCTGGCACTGCTGATCATTTCAATAGCGTGCGCCGCGCCGATGGATCACCGAGCGCCGATAGATCACCGACCGGCAGGTGCAGGGCAGCACCAAGTCTGACCCTGGCAACAGCACTGGTCTCATCCTGGGAACAGTCCCATCCCGGAAGCAGCACCTTGCCTGATCCCGGAGCAGGTCCATCTCATCAAGAGAACATTGTCCAGTCGGATCCCGGGAGCAGCTTCTGTCCTGACATTGGAAACAGTCTGTAGTGTGATCCTGAACAATGTGCCCAGTTTGATATCGGGCACAAACCAAGTGTAATCGTGAAAACAATACCCTTTTCGATCCCGAGTGAAGCGCCCAGTCTAATCCCGATATGAATGCCTAGTGTAATCGTGAGAATAACACCCCTTTCAATCACAAGTGAAGCGCGCAGTCTAGCCCCAATAAACATGCCTCGTCTAATCCGGGGACACGGATGACTGCGTTCCCACCTACAGCAGCCGGCGCGCGCCGCGGCCGGACAGGGTAGCGCGCGCTCCAGCCGGGCGGGAGCAGATGTCGCCCGCAGATAAGCCCCGTGCTCTGTCTCATAACCTGAGGCAGCCCAGCCCGGCTTAGCCACGTCGCATCACATAACACACACCGCCCGATTTACGATCGCTCATGAGCGAGCCTAACACGACGTGGAGGTGAATCATGTCAGCTGTGGAGGCGGCGCGGCGGTGGTCGCGACGCGAGGGGTGTCAGGCCGGCCACGGACCGGGCGCGCCTCAGTCACGCGACAACACGCCGCGCCAAGGCCGCCAGTCCATCTTCGGCCGGCTGAGGCCAGCCCGCCTCGCACCGCGCCCGCCGGGGTCAGCGCTGGTAACGGTCGCGGAGCGGTAGAAAGACATGACATCGCTGCTGTGCCTCGTTCGGGCTCGGGCTCGGGCTCGGGCCCTTGCTTCCGCCACGGCTTCGGCCGGTGCTGCGCTTTCCAGCACTCAGACGCTGGCAACCACCTCCTCTAGGCCGTCGGGTCGCGACGTACCACCCAGCTATCGCAATGGTCAACCATCGCGCCTTCTGTTCGAGCTCAAGAACCCGCTAACTGCAGAAGTGCGCAACAAAAAAAAAAAACTCGAATAATTAACTAAAATAAGAGGCGCCTCGGCCTGCCAGACGAGCGAATCGTTTGAAATAGCGGGCGACCTGGCTGACGACGGTGGCCAAAAGTGACCACTGACTGACCTATGACCACCAGCTTGATCTGGTGCTGCACGGTTCCGTATCCTGTGATGCCCTTGCAGCCGTAGGTGCCGCCCAGCTCGGCGGTCGCCGACTTCACTCGCAGATGTCGCGGACCGAACCGGATCAGCGGCCACCGGATCCCGTCCACCTTCTGGCCGTCCTGAAGCATGGCACGCTCGCCTCAGTCACCTGCGCCGCGGCTGCCTCTTAACAGCTTCCTCGTGCACGCGCAGGGTTCTCTCCCACACACGCCAGACACCTGCACACAAGCACGCTTGCTTGTCATGTATACATGCGCACGCAGGTACACAGCCACACATGCACAATAGGTGCCTTCATGGGTGAGATCCCCTGTACCGAATTCACCTGCTACCCCTGGGGCTGTGCCGATTCTGACAACGCCGATTTACCGAACTGCTACCCATTCCTTATCAGTTATGCCCACCCGTCACCCAGCCGTTTGTACTTCTCAGCATTTTAGTTATGAATAATGAAAACCGTTTTCAGGCATATTTACACCCAAAACTTGGCCTTACGTTGACAGTTGCAATAGCAGCGTGACTGGAGCTAATTATGACTAGCTAGCTAAGTGGTACCAATGTGTAGTAGCTTTGAGGTACCTACCCGACATTTTGAAAACGTCTTACCCATACCACACCTGCAATTTTTCCCAAATATGTGTCCAGCCTAGCCCATTACCCATTCCATATAGGTAACTACGGGTTTAGCCAACGCGTGAAGTCATCTAATTCACACTCACCCGTATACGCACACTCGCAGTTGCACATGTACCCGGGATGCCTTTCAATGACCGCATGTGCACATTTCAGCCTGCCCCCAAGCTGTGAAAGGTCGCGCTCTTATATTAAGGAAAGGTTTCGTGTTTTGCGGTCACCAACACCAAAAACTCCTAAGCATATTCATGACAAAACAGCCTTTCTTTTCTGACCTTTGGGCTCTATCTTACCACCCCTTCTGCCCGTTCTGACCGGCTGTTGTGACCTAATCACCATGTTTTAGCGAGAACTCCTGATGGCACTCCCGGCAAATACGATGCTACACTCACGTAGGACCCACGTCCCGAAACCATCCGGAGACGTGCATCTAAATACTCCTGTGGAAATCCACGCGGAACACTTAGATGCAAAGCTTCTCACTGCGAAGGCTTGTTGCAGCGGTGGTTCTGCCGTCGTCACGTCCAATGTCCATTAACATAATACGATGTCACCCGACTACAGAAACGCCAGGTCAGATACAATAAATTACAAAACATCATACCACATACCAAACCACAACATTAAGTCTGTTCTTTCCTCCCCTTCACTTTCCCTGTACGTTCTGAACTGTCAGTTACAACCACAGGAGCAAGAAGTCAGTGAGCGAAAGGAAAATGCAGTCGTAAAACGAAGAAAGATATTAGAGCTGGCACTGAAGCTTCTCGTCTCTCGTACATGGCCTTGACTAGCACTGAAGCTCCTTGTTTTATTGTTGTTTTTTTGCACGTGCCACCTTTTACCGAAAAGTTCGACTATTGAGGGAGTGACGTTTTAGCCGGTCAGATCCAACGACGGCAGTACCGGCCTGGATCCATCGGCCCCGCCTGTCAGGTTTACCGCTCGCTCGGTTGATTGGGGATGGCTGCGCACGCCTGTCCTTCGTGGTATTCCGTGCTAACCCTCCAGCGGAGGACTCCCATCCCTATAACGTACGATGGCTCGATGTCGGTACCCTCTTCCACGGCGCGTCCAACGCCCACCAGTTCCTCATACTCGGTCGCGACGAGGTTGATGGGACCGGCCTAAACTTCCAGATCGTTCACTGCTGCCGCGACTGCTGCTGCTCTGACTGCCGCTGCTCTGACTGCTGTTGCGACTGCTGCTGTTCTGGCTGCTGCTGCTCTGGCTGCTGCTGCGGCTGCTGCTGCGGCTGCTGCCGCTCTGGCTGCTGCTGCTCTGACTGCTGCCGTTCCGGCTGCTGCCGCTCTGGCTGCTGCTGCTCTGGCTGCTGCCGCTCTGGCTGCTGCTGCTCTGATTGCTGCTGCTCAGGCTGCTGCTCTGACCGGCTGCTGCTGCTCTGGCTGCTGCTGCAGGTGCTGCCGCTCTGGCTGCTGCTGCTCTGGCTGCTGCTACGGCTGCTGCTGCAGGTGCTGCCGCTCTGGCTGCTGCTGCTCTGACTGCTGCCGTTCAGGCTGCTGCTGCTCTGGCTGCTGCTGCTCTGGCTGCTGCTACGGCTGCTGCTACAGGTGCTGCCGCTCTGGCTGCTGCTGCTCTAACTGCTGCTACTCTGGCTGCTGCTGCGGCTGCTGCTGCGGCTGCTGCCGCTCTGGCTGCTGCTGCTCTGGCTGCTGCTGCTCTGGCTGCTGCTGCGGCTGCTGCTGCGGCTGCTGCCGCTCTGGCTGCTGCTGCTCTGGCTGCTGCCGTTCCGGCTGCTGCTGCTCTGGCTGCTGCTGCTCTGGCTGCTGCTGCTCTGGCTGCTGCTACGGCTGCTGCTGCAGGTGCTGCCGCTCTGGCTGCTGCTGCTCTGACTGCTGCCGTTCCGGCTGCTGCTGCTCTGGCTGCTGCTGCTCTGGCTGCTGCTACGGCTGCTGCTGCAGGTGCTGCCGCTCTGGCTGCTGCTGCTCTGATTGCTGCTGCTCAGGCTGCTGCTCTGACCGGCTGCTGCCTTCTCTGTCGGGTGTGTCGCACCAGGCGGACTTCTCTGTCGGGTGTGTCGCACCAGGCGGACTTCTCTGTCGGGTGTGTCGCCCCCGGTCCGGTCACCTGCCTCTCGTCACGAGGCACTGCCATTAGCCAGCAGAACACTTTCTGGGTAGCTCAGCGCGAGAATCCTCCAGTAGCGTACCGCGGTGACGCCTCAGCTGGCTGCTCCGATGAGCCGGTGCGCCGACTGCATCCCAGCTCTACTCGACCCCGATGACGCAGAGCGCACACACACACACATACACGCTCGTTACATACCGCGCCAACACGTTCACTTTGTGGGATGGGTGAGCTTCTGACAAAACCTTACAGCAGGCGACCCTGAGCCGTTTATAAGTGTGCAATATATACAGCTAACCATGAACCTTATCCCTCAGTTCGCCAGCCCCTCGCGTTGTAATGTTCCTGGCATATGAGTAAAGCAGCTTCATCACTGCTCAAGATTGCCTTACACATCGGCTGACAGAGCAGGTAAGTCATAACATTCTCCTTTTTAAAACTCCGCCGTACACAGCATGTGCACTGTTTCCGCAATCGGCCTCCCGATCGGGCCATAAAAGGCGGCGGGGTCCGCAGCTTGATCATCGAGTCCACAGAACAATGACGAATACATTAGCCCTACGTGCTGACACAGGCACACCACTCCGTGAGTGGCTCACCGGACTAGCTGCCCGAGCTACGTCATACATCCACCTGGTTGACGTTGTCCCAACCCACCATACAATCACGTTTACATCAATGCCGCGCTCCTCAAGGAGAAAATTCAACTTCTCGGCCAAAGCCTGCCTTCTGTCTGTCTATCACACTTCATATGAAATACCGTCATTCGTGGACGCCATTCGGCTGCACGTTGACCCACACATTGCGGGCACGCGTTGTGGACGTCACCCAGACGCTGACGCCGCACTGGCTGGGTCGTCACGGCTGTCAAATAAGAAAAACGCGGACACTTGGCTGCGTCGGTAGTGAGAGCTAGTTCCTTCTTTCTGCTGTCATTCACTCCCCACTTTGTAACGATACGATCCCCTACAGCGGCCCAATATGCGATGAGTACCTTGGATACCATGCGCCCGCCAGTATCGGCGGCACCGGTCCCTCTTCCACCTCGCCTAGGTCTGGCCTTTTCCGGGTAGGGGTGGCTGAAGAACACAGACTCCGCGTCCTTCCTAGTCCCCTGGCTCATGGTCATCGGTGTCGGTCGGATTCTCACCACAGAAAGTTTGGTCAAGACCACGTAAACCACGAGATATGTCAGCTTCACGGTTTACGAATTCCCGGCTCTTGACTTCCCGGCTCCCGACTTCACGGCTCCCAACTTCACGACTCCCAACTTCACGGCTCCCGACTTCATGGCTCCCGACTTCATGGCTCCCAACTTCCCGGCTCCCAACTTCACGACTCCCAACTTCACGGCTCCCGACTTCATGGCTCCCGATTTCACAGCTTCTCGCTACCTCCCACGACCACCGCTCCTTTCGGCTCTGCCGTCGCGCTGGCGCTTCGCTGCCCAGACCACCTATAGACATCACCCTTACTGTCCTCCGATCTGTACGGAACTCTTGGTCTTCCAGATAATAGTGCTTTCATTTGAGTCGCATGACAACATTTTCCTGTCCGCCCAATTCATCCATCTCATTCCACAACCGTGTCCTTGTTGTGTGCATCTTGTCTTGTCGAGCCAATGGACTGAGTGAATGCCTGGCCACTGGTCAACGAAGAACTCAAATGGATGCGACAACTTCTCGCTAATAACGAGCACAGCATCCACATGATTGAAGAGAAAGCTGGCTCATAATACTGCAGTACATCCAGTTGTAGTCTAGTCCCAAGACCTCGATGACAACGGGGCCGACCCCCTCCCTTAACGCCAACGGGGCCGACCCCCTCCCTTAACGCCAACAGGGCCGACCCCCTTCCTTAACGCCAACGGGGCCGACCCCCTCCCTTAACGCCAACGGGGCCGATCCCCTCCCTTAACGCCAGTGGGGCCGATACCCTCCCTTAACGACAGCGGGGCCGATACCCTCCCTTAACGCCAACGGGGCCGACCTCCCCCCCCCTTAACGCCAACGGGGCCGACCCCCTCCCTTAACGCCAACGGGGCCAACCCCCTTCCTTAACGTCAGTGGGGCCGATACCCTCCCTTAACGCCAACGGGGCCAACCCCCTCCCTTAACGCCAACGGCGCCGACCACCTCCCTTAACACCAACGGGGCCGACACCCTCCCTTAACGCCAGCGGGGCCGACCCCCTTCCTTAACGCCAGTGGGACCGATACCCTTCCTTAACGCCAACGGGGCCGACCCCCTCCCTTAACGCCAACGGGGCCGATACCCTCCCTTAACGCCAACGGGGCCGACCCCCTTTCTTAACGCCAGTGGGGCCGATACCCTCCCTTAACGCCAACGGGGCCGACCCCTCCCTTAACGCCAACGGGGCCGACCTCCTTCCTTAACGCCAATGGGGCCGATACCCTCCCTTAACGCCAACGGGGCCGACCCCCTCCCTTAACGCCAACGGGGCCGATACCCTCCCTCAACGCCAACGGGGCCAATCCCCTCCCTTCACGCCAGTGGGGCCGACCCCCTCCCTTAACGCCAATGGGGCCGACCCCCCTTTTCTATGACAATCAAATGACGGTAGCCGACAAGAAGGACAAGAAGGCTGACCGGAGCCTTAAAGTAACAGCCTGGTCATGAAGACAACGTATCCAAGACGCGCCTGTGCTGAAAATGACCACTGTAGTTTACCAGTCCTGCTGCACTATCAGCCACTGTAAGCACTGCCCTAACGGTGCCCACACTGGCCACATGGCCACGACCCTGGGATGGCGTGTGCAGTGGCAAGATGGAGGCCCTAATCACCATCTGAAGGAGGCCCTGATCACCATCTGAAGGAGGTCCTAATCACCATCTGAAGGAGGCCCTGATCACCATCTGAAGGAGGTCCTAATCACAATCTGAAGGAGGCCCTAATCACCATCTGAAGGAGGTCCTAATCACCATCTGAAGGAGGTCCTAATTACCATCTGAGGGAGGCCCTGATCACCATCTGAAGGAGGTCCTTATCACCATCTGAAGGAGGCCCTGATCACCATCTGAAGGAGGTCCTAATCACCATCTGAAGGAGGCTCTAATCACCATCTGAAGGAGGCCCGCAACTGGCCCAAGTAGCTGAAGGTTAACAACACCATCGTTATTCGTTGCTTTGGCAGGCAGAGCCTCCAAACGCTGCAAACAGTTTACGTCCGTGAGCGCGACGCGACGATAACTCGCTAAGTCGACGCAAAGGGCACACGCTGATCATTTGACGGTCCGCCGCCTGTGGCCAGAACGTGCCGCGTTTTTACTGAAAGTCCCCTCGGGGCTTAAACGTAGGCTCGAGTGGGGTCAGTTTCAACCCCCCAGGTTTTTCTAGAATAACTTCCGAACGACGCAGCGTAGCCAGCCGCGCCAATCTCTGTGGAACTGTAGGCTCCCCAATGGATCCGATTCATCCCAGCCCTCAGCTGAATCGAGCGCAGGTCTGATGATAAGTGGTACCTGGGTCCAGTCTTAACCCGGTCCGGGTTCAGTCTGGTCTAATTCCGCTCTTTCTTGCCCTGGTTCCTTCTCAGCCCTTATCACTTTGACACAGACTCAGCACTGAACACCTCGGCCGAGTCCCACCCCGCTTCAGACTCACACCAGTCTTGTTTCACCCTCGTTCAGTCTTGCCTCGGTCTAGTCTTACGCCTTCTTGACCTGATCCAGCCCCTCATTACTCCTCACCTTGGTCCAGTCGACGAGCAGGTGCGAAGCGGACGAGACGGGGCATGTGAGCTTGACCGGGTCACCGAGCTTGACTACCACCAGATCGGTAGCCTCCTCGGGGTTAATTTGCGGTGGTCCTGCAAAATAGAGGGCTCGGTGAACCTCAGCGACTCTGACAGGAAGCGACTTACCGTGGGTCACCTCTGCGATACGATGTCCGTACCAAAGGGCGGTGTCAGTGACACACCTGTACCCCGAGCAGGTGGTGACTGGAAAGACTAGTGTGCCGCCGACCATGTAGTCAACAGACAACGAAAACAGGGGCTTGAAAGATCGGTTTGCTGCCTCCGCTATTATATCTCGACAAGAGACACGGAAGGAATGACACATCGCGACTGGACAGGTCTGCCTGCTACAGTCGCAGCACTGTCGAGACACCGACGGTCCGACTGGAAGTGTCTGGACAGTACGGTGTGCAGCTGACTTTATACCGTCGAGAGACACCGACGGTCCGACTGGCAGTGGCTGGACAGTTCGGTGTGCAGCTGACTTTATACCGTCGAGAGACGCCGACGTAGCACAGCCGGTCAGCCAGCCGGCACCCGCCGGCGGCCTCCAACGCGAGGTTGGCTGGGACGCTGACCAGTTGGATGTAGGTTCAGCCCAATAGCTGCCACTAGGCGGTGCGTACGGCTCGCTGCGGTAAGCGATAGAGGTGCCAGTTGGATTCATAATTTTTGGAATTCCAAAAATTTTCAACGTCTTTTTGGAAATGGGCAGGTACAGGCAGAAATCTTCAAAATTTTTGAGACAGCCGATATCATTCTGTCGTGCCGCAAATTTGCATGCATCTCTATTCATTTAATGCGGATGCACAATACTTACCCCGGTCTTTGGTTTTCTGTCTATTCGAATCCAGTGAGGGAAAGCATCGACAGGAGTAGTGAGTAAGGTTATTGGGTAGGTAATAGCTATTTCATGTACAAATTGGAAATTTTGTGACGACCTGATTTTTCTGACACTTTTTGGACATACAGCTGATCCATCCTTGGGCTTGGGGTCTGACCCCGGACAAGAACTTCCGGAAAACGGCTGCTCTGTCAGGCGAACAGCGCTGGCCGCCGGCCGCTCCACGCAGACCTCACATCGGGCTCTCACCCGACGGGCGGCGGCGAGCCACCGCTGGCTGCCCTCCGACTCGCAGACCTCACATCGGGCTCTCACCCGACGGGCGGCGGCGAGCCACCGCTGGCTGCCCTCCGACTCGCAGACCACACATCGGGCTCTCACCCGACGGGCGGCGGCGAGCCACCACTGGCTGCCCTCCGACTCGCAGACCTCGCAGCCCTTTTCAGCCGGGGATCTGGCACACTGCTGCGGTCCGGTCTGGTCTGGTCTGGTCCGCTGCGTCCCAACAACAGACGGTCTGGTTCGGACGGACGGTCCCACCAGCTGAAGAGCCATCGGTGGCCCGCGAAAAACGCTTGTCTGATAGGTTGTTATTTGAAACGTTTATTCTGATATCTAGAAACTAAACTTAACTGCTGATCTTTCTTGAATGGTGAACTTGAGGCTCGTTGTGTCCTCAATTCTCGATATCGGTCTCTTGAGGTTGTCGATGTCGCGAATATCTACTAAAATGTTATTGATGTACCTGCAATACAAGAAGGGCCAGAACTCTTGATGGGCTAACGCTTTCAAATAGCCGCTTTCAGACAACAATTTTCGCAGAATCACCGACGTGGGTGAATGCCTTTATGACGGGAGTGAGTGTCCAAAAAGATACATGACTGGGTTGGTTATAACCATCAAATAACCAGACCATAGCCTTCGTCCATATATATATATATATATATATATATATATATATATATATATATATATATATATATATATATATATATATATCTCTCTCTCTCTCTCTCTCTCTCTCTCTCTCTCTCTCTCTCTCTCTCTCTCTCTCTCTCTCTATCTATCTATCTATCTATCTATCTATCTATCTATATCTATATCTATATCTATATATATATATATATATATATATATATATATATATATATATATATATATATGTATATATAGATATAGATATAGATAGATAGATAGATAGATAGATAGATATATATATATATATATATATATATATATACAAATGTGCATATATTTCAACCATGGCCACTTCACTAATGCACACAGGTTCATTAAACTTTCTCCCTCAATGCGCTTCATCCCATAGTTATCATAGCTATCAAAGGTAAAATTAAAATCGTGGAGCAAACTGGAAATTTGTAATTCATGCTGCATAACAGTTTTTTATAGCCTGCCGAGTACTCAAAGGTGAAGTGCCTGCGCTAAACTGCAGTGAATATGATTCATCCACATCGTCGTCATCTGCTGCATCGCCTAATGCTACCAGCCAGTACAGCCCGGAATCACGAAGTGCCCATCTGCAAGAAAGCCTGCGACATGGAGGTGGAAGGCGGCTGTCACGCATGCAATGGATGCAATGCCTGGCTGTGAAGTGGCTGGAGAAGCAGGCCATGCATGTTTCTCTCCTGAGTTATCCCTTTCATGGTGATTGCACGGCCAGTCGGGGAGAAAGAAGTCGTCCGTGAAGATGTGATTCTGCTCGACTGGTAGTGACGGGTGAATGATCGGGAACATTTCCCCCCTTCCCGCCCCAGCACGGAGAAACTTGTGAATAGGATGTGTTTCGTTAATGGTTAATTTACAACCGTCATCGAAACTAAAAGTGGCAACCATCATAAACGTATGTGGTGGTGGTGGCATTGAGCAGTAATTCCAGGACACGTAGACTGCTGAGTTCTAAACATTCACGATGCGTTGTGACCATTGTACACAGTTAAATCGTTTCGTGCATCCCTGCGAATGTTGGAGAATTTATGCATCGAGGGCATAAACGTGTTGAATGCATGGGCATCCATGGTCACGTATTGAACGATACCATGTCTTACATCACGACACAGCTGCATCGAGTAAATGAGGGATGCCTTGCTGTTGATAGTTTCTTATGGCATACATTGTGGCTGCGTTTCATCTTAACTATCGTGCTACCAATAGTCGAAATCCTGTTCTATGATTGGTTGGGCGGCCACGATAGATTTGTGACGCGACGGGTGTGACGTCACACTTGTCGACTACTGGACTGGCAAAACGTTTTAACATTTCGGTAGTCCGCGGGGCGTCCATGAACATAGCGGCGCGCAGCGGGGCGACATCATGTTAGTGCTTTGGCTTTTTTAGTTGATGTGCGGGCTACTAGGGATTTAGCGGTGCATTGTCTTTTTAAGCTTGCGACTTCATGGGTGACTGCTTCTAAACTTATTTTTCTTCCCAAATTTGGTGGGCACAGATGCGTGGCTAATGTAACGCTTTCCAGTAGTCAGTAGCTGGTATGAAACAGCGTAGCATTCGAGTGGGCGGGGCTTGTGTTTGTCTACCAATAACACAGTAGTTGAAATGAAACGCGGTCTGTGTTAACTACGGCTCAAGGCGATTGTACGACGTTCCCTTCTGCCCACGGAACCTAGCCGTTTGGGCTTTACGGACGCATGGACTAACAATGTCGGGCGCCTAGTTGACACTATCCCCCGGTTAACTGCAACAGAAAACACGCCTTCGACAGCAGCCCGCATAGTTATTTATGCATCTGACGTAATAATCCTGCCTGCACGTGTTTATGCCACTTGCGCAGCGAGTGCCTTTTGTTGTTGCTCCATCACCGCGGCACGTGATAATAAACACTCAAAATGAGTTATTTCATATACAGACGTTTCAATGAGGGGTAAACACCTTTTAGCTGCCCACGCGAACATTGTGAGGCCATCCAGAACCACTCCGAAACCCGACAAGAAGCAATTAATCACATGCCGAACGATAATTTTGTTCAGTCTCTCTGGGTTTTTTTCTGAGCCTTGTTCTCGGTCACGTCTTCAGTATCCGTGTTACGAAGCTGCATTCTTTTGTTCCCTAGCATATGCTTCCCTTCACACGCGTCTAACAATACCATGGAAATGCTTCGATCCTGTTTGGGCGGACTGACACCAAACTGACGCGTCATACGACGATGAAGCATACCACACTTGGCGTGGCTTTCTATTAGCTCATCGTGTTCAGCTTTAAGATTTTCTAACAATGTTGCGTGGATGACCTGTGTGTTAGCCTCTGATAATTATATGTTCAGGGTCCTTAAACTGCCGCTCTTTACTCTTCTTCTTCCTACTACTGTTGGATCCAATAATGCAGACCCACAAAACGCATAAAACTGCTTGCAACGGTGGCGTCTGGAATATGTCCGGCGTATTGTTCAACTAATCATCTCAGTTAGTTTCCGTTTCGTTTGAGCTGCAAACTCCTTTGTCCGTGAACATCGAATCTTGGAATTTTCAATATGAACTGCCGACGATTGCTTTGCGCACACGAGTCACACACACATGGACGATCACGCGAAGTAAGCACATTGCATGATCACTTAAAAATCCGTCTGCAATGTCAGCTTTGCTCGTAGCCGTGTTCAGTTCTTTCAAGACTAGAGAGAAGTAATTTTGGGATACGCTTTTTGGACGAGATCGGTGATACGTAAACTTATGTTTAGCAGGGTGCTGTACGCTCAAAATGTCAATGAAGTCGTATTCTTGCGCATACTGCTCAGCCGGTGCTTTACACCTGTGGCCGTTAGCCACCCTTCCAGCGTTGCTAAGCCCATCCAATCTCAGGTTAAAACAGAAATTTAAGTCTCCTCCTATTATGGTCTAATCCGTATCGACATCATCACACGCCTCAAACAGTTTTTCAAAGACAGGGGTCATCAATGTTTGGACTATGAATTCCTGCTAACGCCGGTTTTGTTCTACTAAACGTAATACCTAACACAATGAACCTACCGCCGCTGTCACGTTGCTCATTCCAAGCATCGATACTGAGATCAGAGCGAAACCATTCGTGGCGCCACATGAAGCGGCCTTGCCATGAGCCCAAAGGTCACAGCCGCCACATTCGTTTTGCCATACATTTTCAAGCGCGCTTACAGAATGAGCATCATGCAGTAAAAACAAAAAAAGGTCAGGGTTTTTCCTACAAAGCCATGGCAAATTTTCCTTCGCATGGGAACAACTTC